TTTTCAACCCCTTCTAGATTTCTCCTGAAACTTAAAGCTCCTCCTCCCCACTGTATGGCACTCACGTCTGGCTCTGTATGCTTCTTAAGGCCCTTTTCGAACATATTTTCTGTAACATTAACAGAATAAAATTAACCTTCCAGTGAAATTAGCAGCTTCTGTTTTGCCTTTTTGTTACAAAATGTGACCATTCACAACAACAAACACCACTTAAAAGTCCTGTGGTGTGGGGAAGTTGATGTATCTCAGCATTGCACGTGCCCGTAGTGGTTATGTAATGCTTTTTGTTCTTTAGCAGATAGTTTCAACTTTCTGTTCACATGACCCTTTAAAGACAAAATGCCATCGTTGCAGTGGTAAAAGCTGCATGTGTAAAATTGTAGCATTACATATACAGTAAGTGCTTCAATGTTGAATGCAGGATGGGACTAAATAAAGTATTTTTGTTGCAAGCACATCAATGATATTTTGTAGAGTATTCATAAGGGATGCACAATATAAATCGGGGCAATAAGTAATTGTTCAATAACAGGAAATGTGTATTATCACAAACTGTTCCTAACTTCCTATAATAAAGTATGACTTTCATTGACTTAAAAAAAATTCAAGAAGAAGAAAACTCTAGAAAGCTATGTTTGCACCAGTGTAGAAGAATTTCGCAGTATCCAACAATGATTGCAATTCAATTCTTCTACCAGAAAAAAATGTAATAGCATTTGAGGAGGCTCATTGTAAATTAACAATATGCCACTTTAATTTAGTTAGGTCAGAACTATGGGATTGTATTGCATTCCTTCTTAGCTCACTACATCTCAGCCAGCTTATGAACTTCTCTTTTAGAATACAAAAATGGGAAATCGATCGGCCATCCTATTGATATCGGCCATGAGGAGCAGCTATTTAAGGGTTATCGGTATCAGCTGAGCCAAATAAAATTCACAACAATAAACTTATCTGGTTGTAGAATGGAAAGCAGTCACAAATAAAGTGTGTTTTATACAATACATACACACATTTAATGAAACTGGTGGTACGTCATTAAGAACACTAGCTATCTTGGTAGCTAGCTAGCAAAAGGCTGCTAGACATGCCGTAGCTAACTAAGCTAGCTGGCTAACTTCATAATGGTCAGATACACAGCCATGGTACTATAATAATTAATATAGTCACTTAAAAAAAGCTAAGTTAAACCTGCAATTTCATGATTTTCTGGTTCCTTTCGGAAACACTGACATTTAATCAGCTTTTAAGTTGATTTGATCAACAGTTTAGCGTATTAGCCCTGATAAACACACCCAGCGGATAAGTAGTAACATTAGCCTTTTGGAGTTGTGTTTTTGGTCACCTGATGATTGACAGTCCAATATTTTCTCGGCTTTAACTCATGTTTTCTTGTTCCTACCAACTCCTGAGGATCACTGTGGCGTCTTCTAGCCAGATTGCTAACTATGATGCAACCTGCTTGTGGCTGGGCAGGTTGTACGATGGGTTGATATGAGCTTTTACTCTTAAAAAAGCTGCCTGTAATTATGTGATACAGTGTTAATATAAAAATATTATTTTCAGATTTTAATTTAATTTAAATTTGAGATAAGTAAAATAAATATAATTCTTCCAATGCTCAAATAACTGTTTTATTTGCATGGCTCAAACTCTACAAAATAATATTAACCTGCTTGCACACAAAGTTTTACTGTCCTCAAATTCCCCACCATGTGCTCCAGATTGAGGCACCAATATAATTCCGTATAAAAAGCACCTTCAGGTTAAAAGTGCTGATGTTAGTCCAGCGCTGCGGGTCATTCTGAACTGTGAACTGACCAATCCCCTTCAATCACAAGACTGATAGAATGGACTGTGAAATTTCAAAGGCTGTCTAAACAGAAACATCAATTCTCCTTAGACGGCCGGTGAGATCTCACTCACGGTGGAAAAAAACTCTGATTTGAGGTGGCAGTGTATATCAGATATTACCATGAAACCTAAAACTTATCGGAATACAACTGTATAGCAAATCTATAATACACAATTTTTTTTACATTTTCCTGTCTTTTCCACCTTGTTTTAGATTGCGTTATATAATCTACTCACATCATTCTTTACAGTGCATTTTGCAATGACAACAGAAACTGCAATGAATAAGGCTGGATCACTGTATGAATCCACAAATATGTTAACAAGAAAAAAGAATCAGGGTTTCGCAATGTTTTACTCCATATAAGCCCATAAGTGCACAAAACGAATGATTTGTTTTTACTTGCATAAACTCAGCAGGAGTCCGTCTACTGAATGATGATGTCATGAAATAAATAATCCTGTGTGTGTGTGTTCTGTTATTCTGTAAAATAACAACCAGTTATTTTAATGGTTGCCTAAGATGAGGTTTCAGATGCACTAAACATGGGATGGATCCATAGTCTTCACAGTCAAATGCCATTGATTATTTTGGTTCTGTTCCCAAACAGGTCCGCTAATTATCAGCCAAATATTTCCCTGTGAAATAAAACAAAAACATGTCAGAGAAGCGGAAAGGTTCCTCTGTGTCTGTGCATTGAAGCCCTGGCATTAAAATGCCTCTCCCTAAGTAAGTGGCCACTTGTGGTTAGGTATAACTTCCCGGCTCTTTATGCAAAAAAAACACATTTATGTTTTCTGCTTGCAAAAAACAAATGTGTTGCCGTTTTAACCAGCAGGAGGCACCAATACAAATCCACATTGTCCTCCCAGCTAGCGGGGAAGGTTCTCACAACTTTGGCTAACGTTACCTATTGGTTCTAATAAGGTTATAAAGAAACGTTTTAATCTGATGTTCAAAGAACCTTTTTAGGATGTTTATTTTTTCAAATAATGTTCCTATAAGGTTTAAGGTTAACTAAGACATAACGTTTTAACAGCAACATTCAGAGGATGTTTTGAGGATGTTATTGAGGCCTGAGATGACAGAAAGTTTTTTTATAAAACGTTCCTTTAATGTGATATGTTAACAAAGGTGGAACGTTTTCCTTGCAACATTCTAAGGATGTGTTTTGGACGTTGTTGTGTAACACATTAAAGATGTTCTTTATAAAACGTTCCCTCAATGTTACATGATAACAAATGAAGAACATTTTCAAAGCAACATTCTGAAAATGTTTTCAGGATGTTATTGAGGCCTGAGATGACAGAAAGTGTTTTATAAAATGTTCCTTCAATGTGATATGTTAACAAAGGTGGAACATTATGCCTGCGACATTCTATGGATGTGTTTTGGACGTTGTTGGGTAACACATTAAAAATGTTCTTTATAACACATTCCCTCAATGTTAAATGATAACAAATGAAGAACATTCTCCAAGCAACATTCTGAAAATGTTTTCAGGATGTTATTGAGGCCTGAGATGACAGAAAGTGTTTTATAAAATGTTCCTTTAATGTGATAAGTCAACAAAGGTGGAACGTTTTGCCTGCAACATTCTAAGGATGTGTTTTGGACGTTGTTGTGTAACACATTAAAGATGTTCTTTATAAAACGTTCCCTCAATGTTACATGATAACAAATGAAGAACATTTTCAAAGCAACATTCTGCAAAAAAATTCAGGATGTTATTGAGGCCTGAGATGACAGAAAGTGTTTTATAAAATGTCCCTTTAATGTTAAATGATAACAAATGAAGAACATTCTCCAAGCAACATTCTGCAAATGTTTTCAGGATGTTATTGAGGCCTGAGATGACAGAAAGTGTTTTATAAAATGTTCCTTTAATGTGATATGTTAACAAAGGTGGAACGTTATGCCTGCAACATTCTAAGGATGTGTTTTGGACGTTGTTGGGTAACACATTAAAGATGTTCTTTATAAAACATTCCCTCAATGTTACATGATAACCAAAGAAGAACATTTTCAAAGCAACATTCTGAAAATGTTTTCAGGATGTTATTGAGGCCTGAGATGACAAAGTGTTTTATAAAATGTTCCTTTAATGTGATAAGTCAGCAAAGGTGGAACGTTNATCCATGTTGGTGTACTACAACTAGAAAAAGCATCGGTTTGTTTTTTCATCAGGAAATGCAGACCGGCTCAAACAAACTATTTTTAATCATCATCCTCACGATAATTAAATGTATCATATGTTCGCCGAATTGACATGAAAGCACTAATAAATGTAGTTTAATCCACTTAATCGATTTGTTTTTATATCACATCCGAAGGGAGGAAATTCAGCAGCTCTCACTACCGATTTTTAATCCTAATTTAATCATCATCTTCACCACGATCATTTATGTTTATGTTCGCCGAATTGACATGAAAGCACTGACAAATATGAATATACTGTAGTCAACTTCATTAAAACGTTATTAACGTGCCTAAACTCAGTAATTCACAATTTCTACGCATGACAACACACTTTGGCTTACTTGCGTATGTTGGGCATTAATTATCATTATGGCACATGACACAGATGGCTTTGGTGTTATTTAGGATGCAATTTTAACCAGAAAGTGGCCATATTTTTTCTCTCGGTGGGTTGATTTTGACTACCATGAGTAGTGTTGCTACCATTGGATATAGATAGCACAAAAGGGAAATTATTACCGCTACTGTGGACAATCTTTCCAACAAATAGGCAATCTGTCCAATCCAAATGACCCAGAGTCCCCTAAATCTTCCGAATTGACCAACAAATAGCATCAGCCCTCCCAGAGTACAAATATGGCCACATTCTGGTTATAACGGCCATTTTTGATCCTAAAGACATCGGAAATGGATTCAGCATCCTAAATAACCCCCAAAACCACTCTAAAATTCTCCAAATCGGCCAAGCCATTTTCTTTTACTTTTGTCCACATAGGTTATAATGTCATTATTAATGCTTATTAGTGCAACTTATGCTCATTGTACTAATTGCCCGACATATGCGAGTTAGCTTCCAGCAGTTTATATGTGCTGGAGAGCCTACTATACATTTCTAACATAAAACTTTGGGGTAGTGAAATTGGGTATTTCCGGGTTCATAACAGGACTATGAGCTTGCAGACGAATAGGTTGATGGAGAAAATAAAGAAGAGTGAGACAGTGACGTACTGGTGTCAGTAGTGTCGTACTGGGAGTCCTTCTGCAGCTCGTACACGTCCACCTCCACCCTGGCTTTGGAGGACACGTCCATCATACTGTTGATGTTCTCCCTCGCCAGGCCCAACGCCATGCGCTCACCACGACCACAAGCCGACTGATGGTCCAAAATGGCCGCTGCAGGGAGAGAGAGGAAGAGGGAGTTGTTGAGAAAATTCAGATCAATAGTTAATAAGAATGATACATTTCCTATTACCGTAATTGTCGGACTATAAGCCGCACCTGAATATAAGCCGCAGCAGCGGCATACCACTCTCGGTTCCACTTTTACTTTTGCGCGCTACCTGTCTCACTCTTTTCCGGCCTCCAGCTTTTCCTGCTGGAACCCCCCGCTTAAAGGTGGGGGTCCGCGGACCGGCCATAGAGCCCATAGAGTTAAAGGTGTTGGCCGTTAGCTGTAAAAATCCATAGATTAGCCGCACCGTTATATAAGCCGCAGCGTCGAAAAATGGGGAAAAAGGCGCGGCTTATAGTCCGAAAATTACGGTATTTGAAAAGCACTTTTCATACGGATGCAGCTCAAAGTACTTTAACGATATATCACACAACACAAGTCAGGAAACAAGAAATTCAAGTCTTGTTGTATCTTCAAAACTTTTAGCACGCATGCAGCATACTATATGTTTATGATTGAAAAGATATCATGGAGTACAAGGAGGTAAAATAGGCAAGAAAATAAATCAAATAAAAAATAAATTAATTATCCAAAAGTTCAGAACCCAAAACTAAGTATTACAGTACAACAGTAAAAATAATAAATAAATAAATAAGACAATATAAAACATAATAATTAAGACCAAATAACCAATTATTGGGAGTCACTAAAAGGCTAATTTAAGAGCTGTGGAAGCTGTTTTTTTAAAATGTTTCATTTTCTCATAATAAAAACCTGGTAGGCTATACCTGAATTATGAAATGAGAGTCAAAGGAAATCAACACCAAGGAGGTTGTTTGTGGGTGTAAAAAAAGCATATTGTCCACTTACAGAAACGGCTTTGTTACAGCGACATATGCTGTATTATGTGGATGAGACTGTTGAACAATGCTTTTTTTTTATTGGTCCACATGACATGACATATTGATGATCTGCATGTGCAGTCAGTCCGTGTTGGAAGTGGAAATGTTTTTTTCACAGTATTTCATTCAAGGCACATACATGGAAAATATATTTAAAGTAGAATAAAATACAAATATAATAAAGTACACAAATAAACATCAACAAGAAATACCTGTATATGCAAATAATTAAATATCCACAGTAGAAAATATCTATATCAATAGCCAAATCCTTTGAAAGTGCTATGTACAGAAGAGTCTTTTCTTTTATGTATTCGTTATGCACTACTACAGAAACCATGCTAATTGTTACAGAAACATATGACAAGGTGTCCTTTTAAACATTACAATTAAAATTAGATCCCTTGATAAGTTAGACAAGACAGTTAACCTCCTCATCTGTCCTGTTTCTGAACTGCGTTCACTCAGCCTTACAGCATGGGCTCAGCATGTTTGGGACCTTGGCATTTGTTGTGGTATTTAAAAGCACTTAGACCACACAACATGTACCTTTTCACACACTGATGGCAGGCTTACAATACGATAAACCAATGCTGCTCATCAATCAATAATCAATCCTTGTTATGAACACACTCACACAATGATGGCTCTGCCTTCAGGAGCAAGTTCACATTCACTATGTGGCTCAGGGAAAGAAGTAAAAAGTTCCTTCTTCTTTGTGTACTGCGAAAGGCACTAATAACAAGGTTACTTGTTGAAAATGAAACAGAAAGGTAAGGCTCAGTATTTCCCAGAAAGCCCGGTGCTCAGAGGGAGGGGGAGATGAGATAAAGAGTCTACCTCGGGAGCCTCATAAGTGTTCAGATAGCATCTCTGTTTACTCTGTATCTGGTTGTTTGGGTCAGTGCTACAAACACACAGATGGGTCAAGTGAGGAGCGGGGCGGGGGGGGCAGTCCACAGAGGTTCAACACTTGATCGCTTTTCTGTCCAAGAATGGATCAAAAACACTCCAGGAAGATCTGATAAGAATTCATTTCAGCCCAGTCCTAGGAAGTACTTTTCTAGGAAGTAAAAGGTTCGTTCAGGCCATTGTTGTCTGGGTTTGCCTGCTGATGTATGGAAATGTGAGGGCTGTTTTACATGCCGTTTTCGGGTAATACTACTGACGGGCCAGTTTGGTAGCACCTGGCCAGCACTCTGATGCATCTTCAAACAATATCGCAAGACCTATCCAAAAGAGATGGGATACATCTTACTAGAAAACATATTTTAACCTAATAAAGTGAACTAGACTACTATAACCAGGCTCACATTCAACATGACTGATGGCCAAGTTGATCTCAAGGTACCCAGCCAACATCTCAGATGCAGATAAAAGAAGGACAAACAATTGAAGTTAATTTTGTTCTGTGTATAGCGAGAACTAAGCTGCAAGCCTTACCCCAGAGTTCATGACCTTTTACAAAGTACTGACCCCTGACATTTTGTAAGGTATTTTCCCTGGAACTTAATTTACTTAATTAACCAAGGTCCTATGAGTCCACACGCAATGAGTTTCTCGAGTTCCTTATTAAGGAGGTCAAAAAGGTGCTAAGATCATACATTTAAAGGAATGATCTGGGACTTGTTGTTTTAGTTTGTGATAAACGTGTTCTCTAGGTTGATTCCTGTCTTTTTGAATCTCTTGACAGCTGATCAACTCTGAGCTATAAGCTTCACTAGAAAATAATATCAAATGATGATATTGTCTAGTATTTAAGTAAAGAAGTTGTAGAGTGAGTCAATTCACCACAAGACAAACCTCCTCTAAGCAGAAGGAGCTCTGCAGTCTTGATTTCATTTGACTCCTGTAGGAAGTGTTTAACTTGAGATATAAATGGACTAACACGTTTATTTGTTGCTTCCCACTTCTCACTCTGACCCAGGTCTGGACTCTGAGGCCATGGAGAGGGCGACAGATTCAACGAGACAAGACCAAACAGAGACTACACATCACTTCATTCTGTAGGTGTGAATGTGGAATCACAGTTCTGCAGTCCTCTGGTGGTCGATATCTTTTAAAAGGCAAAAAGTACACCACTGTGCTCACATCGTGTGCTTTATACATGTTTGTGTCAGTGGTTTGAAGGATCTATAGATTTATCGCGGAGAAGACTACACTAATAACTTAACATTTGGTTCAATTGAAGAACACATTGTAGTGTTCAAACTGTTCCCTGAAGGATGTGGATGTTGCAGGTAAAACAAAGTCACAAAAGCTTGGAGTCATCCAATGTCTCTTTTTTTAAAAGTCTTATTGTGTTTTACAAAAAATCAGTGTCCATTTTGAATCGATACCCTTGCCGGTGAGGAGGCTCCACCAATTGAAAGTCTGCTCTTTTTTCTTCACGAGTTCCGGACTATGGCAGCCGACAGCGGCTGGAACTCCGCTTCATTGTTTGACGCTTTCGTCAGCGGTCTCTCGGATTCTTTACAAGACCAGCTGGCGCCTCTCGATCTGCCCGCTGACTTGGACTCTGTCATATCCATGGCTATAAGGATAGACAATCGTTTGACGGAGAGGAGAAGGAATAAATCCAAGGATGCGGTTGATCCGCCTCTCCAGAGGAGACGCTCGCCGCTGAATACTACTTCTTCTTGGAGGCTCCGTCACCCCTCACCACCTGCGTTCCGGACAACAGCGCCCCCTGGCTCCGTGGAGGAGCCAATGCAGTTGGGCCGCGCCAAGCTGTCGATGGCAGAACGTCAGCGTTGATTCAAGGAGGGTCTGTGCTTCTACTGCGGGCAGCGCGGTCATCCACAAGCGGCTTGTCCGGTAAAAGAGGAGGCTCACCAATGAAGAGGAGCACGTTGGTGAGCCGGATCTCTTCCTCTGACTTTCCTCCTCGCACCCTGACCCGGATCCAGGTAAAAATCAGAGACAATGTGGTTACATTCCTAAGGGTCGACTTTATGCAATTTCAGGACCTGAGAAAGAGGCCATGAAGGACTATATTGATGCCTCCCTCAAAACAGGGCTTATTCGCCCTTCCTCATCCCCAGCAGGTGCAGGGTTTTTTTTCGTAGGCAAAAAGGATGGGTCTCTTAGGCCCTGTATCGACTACTCACCTCTCAATGACATTACGGTTAAAAACCGGTACCCCCTCCCTCTCATCTCGTCCGCTTTCGAGCAGCTTCAGGAAGCCAAGGTTTTCACCAAGTTAGACCTGCGTAACGCCTATCATTTGGTCAGGATCAGGGAGGGCGATGAATGGAAGACGGGTTTTAACACCCCTTCAGGACATTATGAATACCTGGTCATGCCGTTTGGATTGTCAAACGCTCCTGCAGTCTTCCAGGCTATGATCAATGACGTGTTGAGGGAGTTTCTGAACCGTTTCGTTTTTGTTTATCTTGACGACATTCTGATCTACTCCCCTGACCTTCACACCCACAAACAACATGTCCGCCTGGTTCTACAGAAACTGCTCCAAAATAAGTTGTTTGTCAAAGCTGAAAAGTGTGAATTTCATGTAGAAACAGTCACTTTTTTGGGCTTCATCATTTCCCCAGGTCAGGTTATGATGGACCCAGAGAAGGTTAGCGCAGTAGCCTGTTGGCCTACCCCTGACTCTCGCAAAAAAGTGCAGCAGTTTTTAGGCTTTGCTAATTTTTACAGACGTTTTGTGCGGAGCTTCAGCGCTATTGCAGCCCCTCTTCATGTCCTCACGTCCCCTCAGGTGCCTTTTGTGTGGTCTCCTCAGGCTGAGGAGGCTTTTTCTCGGCTGAAAAAGATGTTCACCACTGCCCCCATACTTACCATGCCGGATCCCACTCGCCAGTTCGTGGTGGAAGTGGATGCCTCCAACGAGGGGGTGGGAGCGGTCCTCTCCCAGCAACAACAGAAGGACAACAAACTTCACCCCTGCGCTTTCCTGTCCAGGAAGCTCTCCCCGGCAGAGAGAAATTATGACGTGGGAAACCGTGAGTTGCTGGCCGTGAAGTTAGCGTTGGAAGAGTGGAGGCATTGGTTGGAGGGAGCCGAGCATCCTTTTGTGGTCTGGACCGATCACAAGAACCTGGAGTACATAAGAAAGGCCAAAAGACTGAACTCCCGCCAGGCTAGGTGGACCTTGTTTTTCAACCGTTTTGACTTTGTTCTTTCCTACAGGCCGGGGTCTCAGAATGTCAAGCCTGACGCTCTGTCCCGTCTGTTTGACCCTGTGCCTGCAGCCAAGGAGCCGGAACCCATCATCCCATTGAACCGGGTGGTAGGAGCGCTGACTTGGCCAGTAGAGAAGGAGGTAATACGTGCCAATGCTGGAGCTCCTGCACCAAGGGGTTGCCCGCCTAACCGGATTTTTGTTCAGGAGGCCGAGCGACCACAGGTGATCCACTGGGCTCACACTTCGCTGCTCACCTGTCACCCCGGAGTCAAGAGAACTATGTTCATTATTAAACAACGTTTCTGGTGGACATCCATGGAGAAGGAGGTGAAGGAGTATGTGGAGGCGTGCCCTATCTGCGCTCGAAACAAGACCTCTTCCAGGTCGCGAATAGGACTATTACAACCACTCCCTATTCCCAACAGGCCCTGGTCAGAGATCTCCATGGACTTCGTCACTGGCCTGCCCCTCTCTAGAGGTAAAACCACAGTTCTCACGGTAGTGGACAGATTTTCTAAAATGACACATTTCATTGCTCTGCCCAAGATGCCCTCAGCTAAGGAAACGGCTGAGGTCATGATGCATAATGTGTTTCGGCTTCATGGTTTCCCTAAGGATATTGTCTCCGACCGGGGCCCCCAGTTTGTGTCACGCTTCTGGAAGGAGTTCTGCAGCCTCATCGGTGCCACGGTCAGTCTCTCGTCTGGATACCATCCGGAGTCTAACGGCCAGACAGAGCGCCTAAATCAAGAACTGGAGACCTGCCTGCGCTGCCTGGTGTCCCAGAATCCATCCTCCTGGAGCGAGCACCTCACCTGGGTTGAGTATGCACACAACATCCTCCCTACTTCTGCACGGGCCTGTCCCCGTTTCACTGTGTTTATGGCTACCAGCCGCCACTGTTCCCAGCCACGGAGAGGGAGGTCACGGTCCCGTCTGCCCACGCTCTGGTCAGGCGTTGTCGGCGCGTGGGGCTGCGGCTAGGAAGATACTCTGCAGGAATGCGCACAACTGGTTAAAAGAGCAGCAGACCGAAAACGCCGACCAGCCCCTGTATACCAGCCAGGCCAAAAAGTCTGGCTCTCTACACGAGACCTCCCCTCCACGTACTCTCCCGAAAACTGGCTCCCGGTTTGTGGGTCCTTTTCCCATCACCAAGGTCATAAACCCAGTCTCAGTGAGACTACGGCTTCCCAGGCCATGAAGGTACATCCCACCTCCATGTAGGGAAATTAAAACCGTTGAAGGAGAGCGCTATGGTTTCCCACCGTCAAACCCCCCCGCCCCCCCCGGATGATCGATGGAGGTCCGGTTTACACGGTCAAGTCACTATGGCTAGTCGGAAAAGGGGTAGAGGGCGACAGTTACTGGTTGACTGGAGGGTTATGGTCCTGAGGAGCGGCAATGGATCCTTCCCCTTCATCGTAGACAAAAACCTCATTGAGGATTTTGACCGCCTCAACTCAGAGGAGCCTGGGCCGTCAGGAGCCTCCCCTAGAAGGGGGGGTACTGTCATGTCCAAGAAAACTTATAGTGAAAGTTTATTCTTTATGTTAGAGTTGTCATGTCCCTTTTGTCTTTGTGCTTTATGTCTTATACCCTTAATTATTTCTTCCTCTCATTTCAGCCTCCACGCTCCCCGCCCCTTTCTGTGTCTCCTGCGTCCTTGATTATTTCCTCCCGCCCTGATTGTTTCCAACTGTGTCCCCTTTACCTGTGTATATTGTGTTAGCTCCCTCCTGTTAATTGTCAGTTCGTGCTCTCTCGAAGACCACGTATCGCCTTACCTCACGGACCTTTTCACGGACCTTTCACGGACCTATGCTATAGATTCGCATTTCATAGTTTCCTCGAAAGAGTTGTTTTTTTTTTTCTTATTTTATTACTGTGCAAAATTCCAGTAAAGTCTTTATTTTGTAAACGCTATCTGAGTCTGAGTTTTGAGTCGTGCAATTGGGTTCATGCCTCGAGTTTCTCCCCTTGACAGGGCTAGCTCGAGATCAGGGTTAGTCAAAATGAATCCCGTTGGCAGGGTCTGAGTGTTCATTACCGTTGTTTGGCGTCTGCTTGTGCACATGCTTATCGAATTGAAACCAAGGTGACGTGATCTTAAACTAATTGTAGCGTTCTTGCACACAACACCTGCACGTACCTTTCTTCTGTGAGTTTGATAGTGACGATGATGAAGTGGATTGTGGTGTTCGGTGCACTGAGTGTTCTATCTGCAGACCGCGCAAAGCGTTTCTTCTCTTTATTACCGTCGTCGACAAGAATAGATCCTTGGAGAATCCAAACAATTTTTTTGGAGTAACGCTAGGCGCAGCCAGGGGTAACTGAGGACTCGCGTGCCTTCTAGTTGCCAGGGGTTGGTTGCGGCGCATGACGCTATTAATCCTTTCGAAAAAAATCTGATAACGTAAGTGGTTTTTTTTAGGTTTTTGAGTCATTTCTTTTTTTTTGTTTTTTTTTTTTTGGTTTCTTTGTAATATTTTTTTTCTTATTACAAAAGCCAAACGCACATAATAAGGTTTTAAAGGATAGTCAAGGCCCTCAGAGTCATCGTATCTCAAGCTTAAGCAATCTCAAGTCTGATACCAGAGTCAAGTCAAGTATGATCAATTAGAAGCAAGTCTCAAGTCAAAAAAAGTTTATGCGACTCGAGTCTCACTCGCGTCAATTCATGTGACTACGAAGTCCCAGCTCTGCCCAGTACTACGTCATAGAAGTCAGAAGGATTTTTGCAGTGAGCGAAACGGTCAGCGTAGTTGCTTAATGTATATGGTTATTTT